GCGTTGCTTCTGACGTCCGCCCCACTCTCTTATTAGCGCGAGAAAGGGACAATTTCCGCGGGGGGGGGGGGGGGGGTTGGGCAGGGACCGAATTCCTGAGTTGGTTTATATTACCATAATCCCACCCCCTCCCGTGACAGAAGAGGTGGTGTTAAGATTTAGGGGTGTCTGGCTCAAACCCCAACACTCCAGGCCCTTTATGTTTCTTTCAAGAGACCTAACTCCCAAAGCGTATTTAAGTGCATGTCTGTAACTCCCAGACTGGGAAAATGGGAAGCTAAGCAGGGATGGGAGACCACCAGGAAATCTCAGGAATGTAAGGGTCCCGCATAGAAACTCAGAAGATTAATATTGTAATAACGTATTAATCAGTATTCAAAAAAATAGGGCTAATATGTGTATAAGTGTTTGATTTTTTTCTTTTTTAATCCATTTTTAATGTCTTGTTTTTCTTTAATTTTTGGGAGTTTTTTATTTTAATTTTTATATGTAAGGTTTTTTTCTTTTTTCAATGCACTTGTCTTGATTGTTTTGTGTCTGTTTTTTTTCTTTAATGTTTTGAAGTTTTGTATTTTAATCTTTTTAAAATGCAATTTGATTTTTTTTTTTAAAAAAAAGAAACTTAGAAGATGAGGAAAAGCGTTGAAGACCAAAGGAAAACAAATTCCTGGAAAAAGTGCCCAGATAGATGTGACAAAAAAGAATGTACATGAAAAAAACAATTTAAAAACTACTGAGATTTTTCTGGTTTTAGAGATGTAAGAAAGGAAAGAATGGAATAAAACTGTACAACTGGCACAAAAACCCACCACCGTAGTAAGAAGAAAGCAAGAATCTACCTAATTTTGTAAATATGATTTGCATTCCTGTCCATTAATATTAGTAACAATCTCAGGTCGAAGAACAGAATTTATAGATAGATCAAACAACAATCTAGAAATAAAGGGGATTTTCTTAACAATCAGAGCTTCAACCTGCAAAGCTGAACATTTGCGGTAATTATAAAATGCATTGCTGAGATCAAAATCCACTCCTTTGATACCAAACTTTCCAACTTTTAAAAAAAAATCCTCATTTTGAAGTGAAACACCATTTTTGTTGTCTTTAGCATCTTTCATCATGCTTTATGATGTCATGAAGAATCACAGTGGCGCAATGATTAGAATGCAGTACTGCAGGATACTTCTGCTGACTGCTAGCAATTTAGCAGTCTGATTCTTGCCGGCTCAAGGTTGACTCAGCTTTCCATCCTTCCGAGGTTGGTAAAATGAGGACGATTGTTGGAGGCAAGATGCTAACTCTGTAAACCAGCAGTGCGTATATAAGTCTAAGTGCTATTGCTATTTACTCTTCCTGGTCTCGTTAAACAAAGACACGTTAGTGTTCTATAGTTCCTGCTTTTTCAACAGTCTGCATGGAAAGTAGTTGCTCCTTTGTTTATGTGTTGTTAATTTTAACCTAATTGCAATCTTTATGTATTGTGGGTTGCAGGAGTTTCTTTTCAATTGAAGGGGGGGGGAAGCCTATGGAGCCCAAATTTGACATGTGTAGCATTTTATTTAGCTTTCTATTATACTCATTCCTTTTTCTTTCTCTTTATTATGTAAAGGGGAGGTTCGGGCTTGCCACATTGTCAAGGTGGGGGGGGGAGAGGAGCGAATAGTGAGGATTGTTTTGGCTAGTAGGTGAGCTTCTTTTCCCATGGAAACCGAGGCTGTTCCTGCTGAGAACGGAAGGTGGAGTTTGAAGACACCTTGCAATGTGGATTGAGTGTTTATTGGAGAATGTGACTTTTGAGGGATGTTTCTAACTTACAATATAATGTGGTGTAATTCCAGTTTGTGTCAGATCAGGAATTACAACAGACTTTGCCAATTTGATGCCTACCTAAATAAAGGAAATTTTGTTTTCGAAGATGGACTTTGCACATTTCTTCTTTGAACGGGTTTCAAAGTTGATTAAACTCAATGATAAACACTAAAACACGCTGACATTTCTAATGCTTAAGAATTTTATGATTATTCCTTAATATGCCAGCAAAAACAAATACAAATGAGCAAATAATAAGGCAGATAATACTATATAAATCATCATTAAAGTCAACAATTCTATTGATTCAAAAGTGAATCCCATTTTCTTGGCTGCATTTTGAATGACGTGAAGAAACATTTGATCTGTTTTGACTTTTTCCATTCCATTTCTCTGAATGATCCCTGCAATTTACTGTTTTGGGAGAGGCTTGTGTTCTCTATTCAATGCATGGATTTATAAATCTTTTTCCCGTTTCCCCTTAGTTGCTTTTTTTCCAAATCCCAAGCAGCTAGGATACCATCACTGTAAATATGTTAGAGGGCTCTTTTGTCCCAATGGGCTGATATTCCCCAAGTTGGACTCCTCCAAAATTGCCTTTGGTTTTTGTTACCTTAAACAGTTTAGCATATCTCCTGCAAATTGGGACGGAGAAGAAACAAACAGCTACTGCATTTTCTTCCAATGGCTTCTAAGTACTATGCACACACCTTCCAGTCAGCCTTCAAGCCCAGATAGTTTTCATGACAATCTTGTTCAGAAATGCTCTTATTGCCTCTTGTATAGGATTGTGTGTATGTGACTGACTTCAAATAATTCAGCTGGCTTTCATATTATGAAACAACTAGAATCTCAGGGTGAGTTTTAGGGTTAGGATCTTTAACCACTACACCAAACTGAAACTGTATGGCAGGGTTCCCCAATCTGTGGGCTGCAGCTCACTACCGGGCTGTAGCATATTTGCAACTGGGTTGTGTGAGCAGCAGGCGCCGGCTTTTGCAGCGCAATTCGTGTGAATGGCATCACAAGGACTTCTCTCTTGCATGGGTGGAGTTGCGTGTGCGTGTGCTCCGGCCCACCACTTATGCAGTCAGATCAAGAGTGAAATTCAGCAGGTTCTGGAGAACCAGTAGCGGAATTTTTTGAATAATTTGGAGAACCAGCAAATACCACATTTGGTTGGCCCCAGAATGGGGAGGGAATGGAGATTTTGCAATATCCTTCCCCTGGAGTGGGAAAGGAATGGGGACTTTGCAGTGTCCTTCCCCTGCCACACCCTCCAAACTACGCCCACTGAACCATTAGTAAAAAAATTGAATTTTACCCACTGAGTCAGATTCCCCTCCCGCCCCCCAATCGGCCACAAAGCCAACTGCTCCTAAAGCCTAGTTTGACACCCCTAGTATAGAGCACTTTATAATATCTTGCTACATTTTGAAGCTCTTTCCATGTTCCATGCAGTTATACAAGTTCTCCTTGGTGTAAATCTGAAGACAATTGCTGTGGCTAAGGTTCTGTCCCCTTCATCCAAAACATTAACATGGTTTATATCTCATGTGTACCCTTTTATGGGAAATAAGATTATCACTCTTGCGGAAAGTCTTCCCACATTCCAGGCAGGTATACGGCTTTTCACCAGTGTGAATTCTTTTATGGGAAGTCAGACTACTATTCATAGTGAAACTCTTTCCGCACTCGGTGCATTGGTATGGTTTCTCCCCTGTGTGGATTCTTTTATGAGTAGTGAGAGAACCGCTCCTCCGGAAGTCCTTTCCACACTCCGTGCATTTGTACGGTTTCTCCCCCGTGTGGATCCTTCTATGGGATGTAAGGCAACTGCTCCACCTAAAGCTTTTCCCACATTCTGCGCATTTATATGGCTTTTCACCTGAGTGGACCCTTTTGTGTTCACTCAGATTAGTGGCATTCCTGAAATTCTTCCCACACTCCGTGCATTGATGCGGTTTCTCACGGGAGTGGATCCATTTGTGGCAAGTAAAGGAACTCAGGTCAATGAAGCTCTTTCCACACTCTGTGCATGTATAGGGTTTCTTCCCCAAATGGATCCTTTTATGCAAAGTAAAATCACAGTTGGTACTGCAGGTCTTTCCGCATTCTGTGCATTTATAGGATTTATCCCCCGTGTTGATCCTTTTATGGGAAATAAGGTGACTACTTATGGTGAAGCTCTTTCCACACTCTATACATTTATACGGTTTCTCTCCAGTGTGAATGCTTTTATGAAAAGTCAGGTGGCCGCTCTGGCTGAAGCTCTTTCCACATTCCGTGCATTTATATGGTTTCTCTCCAGAATGGATCCTTTTATGCAATGTAAGCTGACCATTCCGACTGAAGTTCTTGCCACATTCCGTGCATTTATATGGTTTTTCTCCTGTGTGGATCCTTTTATGAGAAGTGAGCTGTCCGCTCTGAGTGAAGCTCTTTCCGCAATCCACACATTTATATGGTTTCTCGCCTGAATGGATCCTTTTATGGGAAGTCAGGGAGCTATACTCACTGAAGCTCTTTCCACACTCGAGGCACTTATATGGTTTCTCCCCCGAGTGGGTTCTTTGATGGGAAATTAAATGGCTGCTGCTATTGAAGCTGTTGCCGCAGTCCGTGCATTGATAGGGTTTTCCTTCTACATGGATGCTTCTATGGAAAGTAAGAGGGATGTCCCACTTGAAACTTTTCCCATCTTCCATGCATTCTTCTTGCGTCTCTTTCGTATAAATACTGGGGTGTTCACAAACATCCGATTCTTCTCTAATTATTTCTCCAAATGGGAAACCTATTCCTTTTTCTCCCTGATCTCCTTGGATCAGAAAAAGATGGACATCTGCATTTTGAGAAGTAGAGGAGATTTGCAGGTCACCATTTAACTGGTTTGCCTCTGGCCATTGTGGCCCTTGCTGATTTTGAAGCGTCTTTTCTCCAATTTCACTTTCGACTGTTTGGAAAGCTGTCTCTTTGTAATTCTCATTCTCCCATCCATCACCTGTTGAATCAAAAAAGAAAAAGTCCATGAGAAATTGAAAGCACAACTTGAGAGTGCTGTTAGGAATCGAGCCCCATTAGCTGCCTCTTTATTTAGTATTTCTCTGTTAAGGTCAAGGTTCCCCTTGCACACATGTGCTAGTCATTCCCGACTCTAGGGGGCAGTGCTCATCTCCGTTTCAAAGCCAAAGAGCCAGCATTGTCCGAAGATGTCTCCGTGGTCATGTGGCCAGTGTGACTAAATGCCGAAGGCGTAGAGAATGCTGTTACCTTCTCACCAAAGTGGTGCCTATTTTTCTACTTGCATTCTTACATGATTTCTGCTAGGTTGGCAGAAACTGGGACAAATAATGAGAGCTCATTCCATTATATGGTGCTAGGGATTTGAACTGCCAATCTTTCTGATCAAGAAGCTCACTGTTTTAGCCACTGAGCCACTGTGTCCCTATTTCTCTATTATTCCATTTTTATTTTTGGTCTTTTTATGACCCCCATAATCCCTTGCATTGGGATGGAATCAGGGCAACTGAATGAAGCTGAGTGTTTTACTGGCCGGATGCCCTTCCTGTCCCCAATGTGGAGTTCGCAGCAGATATTCTTTGTGTCCAGAGAAATAAATATCTGCCACTACCTAGGATCGTACTCACAGCATCCTGATAGTGAGGCGAGAGATCCAACTCTAGGCCACAACACTCTCTTTATTACCCCATTCCTGTTTTTAAATCTTCCAGTCCTTCCCTTTCAAGGTCCCTATGCACACATTCCTTCTGCCTCATGACACTCAACTACCCTGATACATTATGTTACTTTTATCAGTGTATCTTCCGATTAGTGGTGCTGGGGATTACTGTTGGAAACCTAAGCAGTTGACAAGTGATGGTTCCATCTTGTCCCATTTTTCTTAATATTTGGTTTCAAGTATGAAGAAAGACAAGTTGTCAAGTTAAATTTAGATTAAAAATAAGAGATGGATGCCATTGCTCTACATCTATTTTGGATGAAGTTGCATGCTCTGGATAAAAGTTGTACAGAATTGGTTTGGGGAAAACCAGCATGGATATGTCTAGTTTAATAAAAAAGGATTAGGAGTGATATGATAGCATATTCCAATAGCTAAAGGGCTGCCACAAAGAAGAATGGGTCAAACTGTCTATAGAGATTCTTAGTCATCCAGGTCCTCGTTGCCCCACAGGTGCTTTTCAAGAGGCAACTGGACTTTCTGGTTTTTCTTCGAAGACATTTCGCTTCTCATCCAATAAGTTTCTTAAGCTCTGGCTGGATGGTGACCTTTCATTCCCCACCATCCAGCCAGAGCTGAAGAAGCTTCTTAGATGAGAAGCGAAATGTCTTGAAAGAAAAACTAAAAAGTCCACTTGCCTCTTGAAAAGCACCTTTGGGACAAGGGGTCAAGCTATTCTCCAAAGCACCTGATGGGAGAACAAGAAGCAATGGGTGGAAACTAATCAAAGAGAGAACCAACCCCAAACTAAGGAGAAATTTTCTGACAGTGAGAACAATTAATCAGTGGAACAACTTGCCTCCAGAAATCATGAATGCCCAACGCTGGAGGCTTTTAAGAAGAGATTGGACAACCATTTGTCTGATATGGTGTAGGGTTTCCTGCCTATGCAGCGGGTTGGACTAGAAGACCTCCAAGGTCCTTTCCAACTCTGCTATTTGCTATTTCCTTTATAGTAGAAAATATCATCCCCATCAATTTCAAAATAAAATGAAGAAAAACCCTTCTTACCTAAGGTGGCCAGATTCCTAGCATTTTCCAGCATGACCTCCCTGTATAGATTTTTTTGGTTGAAATCCAGCAGAGGCCATTCTTCCCCGGAGAAAAATACAGCGACATCATCAAAAATCAGGGGAATCTGGATCAGGAAGAGAACATTCCCCTATCAGTGAAGAGTTACTGGAAGTATTTACATATACTTCTTTAACGAACAAGTCCCAATACCAGAGTTTCTCCTTGTGCTCGATCAGGGCTGTCAAACTCCCGGGCAACAGGCTTGATGCCTCACGCGCTGGCCACACCCACGCCTGGTTTAGCGAAGGGGGGAAAAGTCCCGATATGTCATGTGGTGCCACCGTGACATGAGTTTGACATCCGTGTGCTAGATAAATAATCACATTCTACAGATAAATTTTGCAATACGAAACAGGAGAATCAAGCTAAAGCTAAAGGTTCCCCTCGCACATATGTGCTAATCGTTCCTGACTCTAGGGGGTGGTGCTCATCTACGTTTCAAAGCCGAAGAGCCAGTGCTGTCCGAAGACATCTCCATGGTCATGTGGCTGGCATGACCCTGTTACCTTGCCACCAAATACGGATTAGAGGGGAGTTAATGAAGTAAAAGAAGTTGGCTGTGCCCATCTTGGATGAAATCGGATGCCCCTTGAGTCATTCTAATTTGTTGGGGGAGGGAAAAATCCTCCTACCTGAGCTGGAAGAATAGCTTCTGTTTCTGCTCCTCTATAAAGAGGAGATATTTCTGCAAGTAACCTCTGTAGCATTCCATTCTCTGAGAGTGAGATGAAAGAGAAAATATGTATTTTAGAAACAAAAAAAAAATCACATATAAAACTATTTTTGCACTCAGGCCTAAGGTCCTTATTCAAACCAAGGTACAGGAGCTCAGAAACTGGTAGTCCTTGACTTGCAAGCACAACAGCCCAAAATTCCTGTTACTAAGCGAGACAGCTGTTTCATGAACTTTGCCTCATTTTACGACCTTTCTTGCCACAATTGTTAAGTGGATCACCATAGTTGTTAAAACAGTAACACAGTTAAGTGAATCTGGCTTCCTTATTGATTTTGCTGGTCAGAAGATCCCAAAAAGGGGATCACACCACCCTGGGAGACTGAAACCTTCGTAAGTACATGCCAGTTGCCAAGTATCATGGGACCATGGGGATGCTGTAATGGTCGTAAGTGTGAAAAACAGGCATAAGTCTCTTTTTTTTCAGTGCATTATAACTTTGAACAGTCAAACAGTGAACTGTTGTAAGTCAAGTCAATTGTAGTAGTATGTAGTATGACTGTGGGAACCTTTCTTTACCTGATGGGATATTCTTAAATGGCTCTTCCTGGGAGCTCTCCCCCAAGTCCACTTCCTGAGAGGGATGCAGCACATCTCCCCATGTTTTAGAGGGTTTAACGCCCACCTCCACGAAGGGCTCCTGAAGCTGAAATATTAAGAGAAAAGAATGCATTTCTGCCCAATGCTTCCAATGCCAGAGTCCCTTCTGGAAGCTTTTCACATGTCCTGGCAAAGTTACCAAAAGGAAACAATAAAGAACAACAGAGTTGGAAGGGACATTGAAGGTCTTCTAATCCAACCCATTGCTCAGGCAGGAAACCCTATATCCTTTCAAACAAATATTTGTCCAATCTCTTCTTAAAAACTGCCAGTGTTGCAGCACCAACAACTTCTGGAGTCAAGTTCTTCCAATGATTAATTGTTCTCACTGTCAGGAATTTTCTCCTTAGTTCCAGGTTGCTTCTCTCCTTGGTTAGTTTCCATCCGCTGCTTCTTGTCCTGCCCTCAGGTGCCCTGGAGAATAGTTTGACTCCCTTTTCTTTGTGACAGCCCCTGAGATATTG